GTTTTTTTGTGGCGTTTTTGAAACACGTAGCGGTAAAATGATCCTCGCACAATGATGCCGATCGAAGAGTAGCGGGAGAAAATTTCTCCAATTTAGTATTTCCTGCAACAGAAATATAAGAAACTACATATTAAAATTACGATTACACGTTTACTTAAAAAAAAAAGTGACATTGCAATGCAATTCGGTAAATCGTGTCCAATATTAACATTTATAAAAAGTAGAGTCGAAAAGTCTTCAATCACTTTCTCGAACCTCGTTTAATGAGACAGTAATTATTATATGTTACTGAAAAAATGAACATCGTCCTTTTCTTTATTGTGATTTAAAAGAAAGGTTGTTTGTTAACATTGTGACGTGACATTGTCGCGTCCACCGCCCAGGCGGTAGCTCGGCCGAGGGGAGGGTCGGGGATGGCGCCTCGACTAGAATTGGGGAGGGCTAATGGCGTTAACTAATTATTTTCTCTAGTTAGATTTTGTAGGAACGACTGGTGGTGCCGTAGCAGGAGATTGACGACGGATAATGTAACGACGTAAGTCGCAACGAGGGAAGGAAGGACACCGAGAAGACGCTGAAGTGAGCGGTTGACCGGCGCGGCGGGCGGGTCACGCGGGTCCCCACCGCCAAAGCGCATAGCAGGTCTTGCCCAGCACATCCCTGGCCCCGTCGCAGCATAAGGAAGGGGTACGTCACCGCTACCGCGGAGCGAGTGGACGCCCCGGACGCCTTACCCCGGCGGTACTTGGGTCGCCGAGCAGGATAGCTACGGCCTGGCCAGTCGGGCTAACACTGACAATGAGATGGACCCGTACGCCATGACAGCTAGTTGAAATTGCCGCGGGCAGGCAGCGGATGCGAGCGGCGCCGCGTGCAAAACGACGCACGCGCGACAGATCGACGGGGCGGAAAATCGCAAGCCTGAGGGCGCATGCGCGTGGCCCAGCGTGGTCCCGCCGGGCCAGCCGCTCATCACTGTCGAAACAGCCGCAGCCGAGGAGCCATCTCCGGAAAAGTGTCCCGACGCCGCCGAGCAGCAGCGAGCAGCTAACTTGTAAGATCTCTACTCCGGTGCCACCGCGATAATTGGGGGCTCGATCTCGGCCAAGGCCCGACCTTGTTAATCGTAATACCGACTAGATTACCGTGTAGATTGGTTAGATTACTGTGCGAATGCCACTTAGGTTACCTCGGAATCTAGATAGAACGCGTGGTCGTGAGGCCGAGATAGAGTCCGGAAAGTATTAGAAAGCCCTCTTCGGAAGCTCAGATGCGGCCCAGTCAATTAGCGTTTATTGTATCGTATTGCGTGTTTGTGAACAAAGGCGTGCCGCGAGCGGTGCGTATCGTGGAATACCGTGTGCGTTGTTGAGAACGTGCCGGGATAAGTGTTATTACGTGTCGCGAGGAGAAGCGTATCGCGGGCCATGCGTTTTGGGAGAGATTTGCGTACTCGTGGAGAGCCTCGCGGATACTTTGCGTCGTTCGCGCGGGCAAGTATCGTTGCACTCGCTCGGCGAGGAGTTTTGCGGACGTACGGCCGAGATATTGCGTTGTACATGTCGTATATGGAAATGTCGCGTTGGAATGCTCATCGTGAGTAGTAGAGTCGTATTGTGAACATTTCATATTACGAACATTAGCGTCGTGTCGCGGATATTCTGCGTCGCTTTGCGAGCCCCGCAAGCGTTAGTCATATCGCGGATATCCTGCGTCATTTATTGCGCATATTCGAGTCATAGCGCGAAGATTTTGTGTCACTGAGTGTGAGTAGTGCGAATATTGGAGTCGTGTCGTATTTTGTATCGTTTGCTGTGAATATTAAAAGTCTCGCGGACGTTAGAGCTGTGTCGCGGAGACCGTACGTTGTAATTGCCTTAGGATCCGCGGCGAAAAATCGCGTTACATTAAACCAGCGGAGACAAGGCCCATATTTGAAACTGAAATACATGGTTATTATTTTTGTTACTTATTGTGTGCTGATTGCGTTACGCTCCTTCCTCACTTTCCTCGTCAAAAGACGTAACCGGCGCCCTGAGTTAGCGTTCACGTGAGATATATCTGTTGAGCCGGGAATCGAGTTGTGGAAACGTGGTGCGCGTAATCGCACCTGGCGCCCATTCGGATTGTTTCGTCGAGGATAGAATAACGCTGATTTCGCGGAACTACCGTCTGCCGGCAAGTAATTTGCGGCCGCGCCCCTTCGGCTAGCGAGACCGAAGAAAATCGGGTCGCAACATTAAAGTTAAATAGATTGAAAAGGGCTAAAACCAATGATCGAAAACATCGTGACAATTATAATTGACCAAAACCAACAGTCGAAACGTTGTGACGATTACAATAAATAAAGATAGCCAGGTCGAGTCAAAATTTGTTATTGTTCATTAGTAGAAACTTAGTAAAACAACGTTATAAATTAGACAAAATCCGTGTTTAATATGGTTAGATTATTCCGTTTTTAACGTAATATACTGTTTTATCGCAAAAAAACCGAGGTCATAATATCGACATATTTATAATTGTCGCGATACATACGCAGATCTTCATTTGTCAGCATAACAATATATTAAAAAATAATATTTATTCTCTAACAACCTACATGTATTACGTATCCATATTTCGTATCTCGCATCCTTTTGCATTGGAAATCTAAATAGGCGCTTACAAGGTCTCGTATTCGTACAGTCTTTGTACATACACCTATCATAAATACGAGTTACACGGCACTCACTCGACATTGTATTATTGTTAATATAAAATTATGAAATAAAATTAATTATTTATTACTCGACTACCTGGTTTAAATTATATATAAATGCACAACGTTTCGGCTCACGGTTAGAGCCCTTATCAAGTGCCGTCTGAAATATGAACATCGCGATGTAACACAATAAAAAATATATAAATTGGAAATTAGTCATAAAAACAGAGAGCGTTACCTAATCGTCATAAGACTCGTCATATATTAGTCAAGACCTCCTTTCGTTCATGGGGATGTCCCAGCATTATCACAAAACGCAAACTACGGGAAATCACTCATATAAAACCGATATACAGAGAAAGAGATGTGACAAACACAAGCATCTTGAGTTTGAGACTCTCCGATAAGCGATGTTATGCGAGCGGAAGAACTCAGGAGACTGAACACTAACAAGGGAAAAAATCAAGGAGTCAAAAGAGCCACAAGAAAGTAACAAAATAAACAATTAAACTGACGAGATGATGCCGTCATAAACTTCGTTTAGATTATCTGTATCTCTCTGAAGATTAATAATGTTGTTGTGTTTCTTTATAAAGAACATTTCAGCTATCTTTCTCTTTTTCGTATTACACTCCTTGTGTAAAATCTTAGGATCAGACCAATTAAAATTATGGTTATTGTGTAATCTATGTTTACTCACAACTGATGCCGTTTTCGAGTGAATGCTTGAAATTCGCCCTAGAATTGCTTTGTGATCGCTCTTGGGTCAAATCATGCTCTAAATCATGTTCGAGTGCAATGCGATCGCACGTTGACGTCATCAGACGCCATCTAGAGTTATTCCGTAATTATTCTGTTGATAAAGACGTCCATTGTTCTGTGCATTAATAAATAGTAGAAAAATTAAAAAATCAGAAATGGCTCTAAATTCAGAAGAAATAAAATTCCAAGCATTAGTGCTTGATGAAAATAATCAAATAATCGAAACTTCCGAAGGTATCCTATGTGAAGTTGCGATTGGACCAGGTAAGAACATTAACTTATCAGAATACTTTGTTTTTTTTGTGTTGTCCTTTATTATTAATCCGTTTTTATATGTGATTATTTTGTGTTTGGGTTATAATTGAAAACGTTAAAAAAAATATCTGCTTTTTTTAATAGCTGAAGAATATGAATTGGCGTATTTAACAAGGGAGACTTTAGGCATGGAGGAAACATTGGATAACCTCGAAGGTCAGTTCATACACACGCATATTAAAAAAATCTGTTTGTCAAATTACAATAAAAGTGTTATTGATTACGTTTTATATTTTTTTAGATAAAGAAAATTTTGAGGATTTTAATACAGCTGGTACTTCTGGAAAGGGTGATGATCTTATTACAAACAGGGTTAGTCCTACGATTCCTTCTTCTTCTGCAGTCATACTTCCAGGAACAAGTAACAAAGCCACTGCTTCAAGAAAATGGACTGATGGTGAGACGAAGAAAATGCTTGCTCTATACAACGAGAACGTGGTGAAAGTTCGACCAATGAAAAAATTCAGAAACAAAAAATTGATGTGGGAATGTATTGCTACGGATATATCAACCGAGTTTAAAATTTACGTAAGCGGAATTCAATGCGAATCTCGTTTCAAAAATGTCTTAAAACGTAAGACTGGTGCTGTAAAGCATAATAAACAATCAGGTAATGATCCCGTGGAAGTTCCATACCAAGACGAGATTGATGAAATTAAAAGTATGGATGATAGTATTAAACCTGAAGTTCTTGTGAGTCCTGGTAGCATTAAAGTTTTGAAAAACAACTCACAAAAGTGTCAAGCAGAACAATCTCGTCAGGATAACAAGAAAAAGAAAACAAAAGATCCACTTATTACTGCATTTCGTGAATCGCAGGAAAGGAGGGAAGCCAACAGGCAACGTAGGCATGAAGAAAAACTTGCATTGTTGCGAGAATTCCTGAGTAAGAAGGAGTAAACTTGAGGAGTCAACTTTTAGTTATAGCATTTCATATTATAATATATATTATAGTATATTATCTCGTTATTGTAGGCTATTCGATAACGGTGACTGTATTCGTGGCGAGGTGGACAGGAAAAACACACGTATTTCTATAACTCTCTATATGATATATTTGCTCTTCGTACAATACACGTCTGAATTCTATGACACCGTGAGCTCTTGTGAGCTCCCACAACGACCGCACGTAAGCGTGGCGCCCCGAGGCTCGCGCCACTCGGGAGCTGCCCTCTAGAAGGGCGGGAGCACGTCGCTCGTTCAAAGCCCGGCTTTTCATACTCCCTCCCTTTGTGCGAGCGATCCGTGTTCGTCTAATTTTCTTCTTTATCTGTAACATATCAAAAATCAGTTATCGAGTAAAATAGATCTCTAATTCTGTTCAAACTCTATATTCATTATATTGTCTCTTAGATATGCAAATGCTTCTAAAGGTAAAGGTTTTGTCATAATGTCTGCCAAGTTTTCTTTGGTCTCAATCCATTCGACTTTCACCTTCCCTTGATCAACACACTGCTTGATAAAGTCTCCATGAGTGTCAGCCATATGTTTTCTGTTTCCAGTTTCTTCTCTTTCTTCTAAGTTTTTCTTTATTTCCTCTAAGTTATCATCAAACATTTTAAGTTTGTGACTTCCATCCTTCTTAGTGCAGTTTCCTGCTGCTCTGTTATCACACCAGATTGTTGCAGGCAAGAATGTTTTTCCAACAACATATCTGAGCGACTTGTCTAATGAGATTACTTCTTGACAGGCCTCACTCATTGCTAGATACTCTGCTTGACAGGTAGAGAGTATGACATATGTCTGTCTATGACTTCTCCATGCTATCACATCTCCAAATATTTTGATTATATATCCTCCAGTGGATGTAGAATCAATGCAATCTCTGAAACTAGCGTCTGTCAGCGACTCTAACTCATCTGTTTTACTTTTAAACATTAATCCTCTATTTGCAGTTCCTTTAAGATATCTGAAGACTCTTTTTACATCTTGCCAGTCTTCTTCAGTGGGCTCTAATTGTTATTCCCAGAAAGTTCTTTGGTTCCCCAAGATCCTTCGTCTCAAATGTTTCACTCAACTTCTTTTTGATTTCTTCTAATTTCTTCTGATCATTACTTGCAACCAACATATCATCTACATAAAGTAATACGATCACTATTTTGCCTTCTTTCCTCCACGTGAACAGGCACGGCTCATGTAGGTCGTTCTCTAATCCAAGTTTCTTAGCCTCTTCTGAAAATCTCTTATTCCATCTTTTCGGACTTATCTTCAATCCGTATAAAGCTCTATTCAATCTACACACCTTAATCTTCTTGGTGTTTTCATCCAGTTCTACTCCTTCTGGAATTTCCATATATATTTCATCTTTTTCTTCTAGAACTCCATTTAAAAACGCAGTCTTAACATCTAGCTGACTAGCGTATAAATTATATTTATTTATTATTGCTAATATAGATCTAACCAGTGACAATCTTGAAACCGGTGCATATGTCTCTTTTAGATCATACACATTTTTGTCTTTACATCCTCTTATCACCAGTCTCGCTTTATATCTGGTTGATCCATCTGCTTCTAATTTCCTCTTAAATACCCACCTTGAATCTATTATATTAGGTCGTCTTCCATCTAATTTCTCTAATGGTCTATCGACAAGTTCCCACACTTGATTAGCATACATAGATTCAAGTTCCTCTTTGACTGCAATTTTCCAATTCTCTCTTTCGTTACTTGATATAGCTTCTTCATAAGTAACAGGCTCTCTATTTAACGATGCCATAAGGCATTGATGTAATTCATCTTCATTCTCTATATTCCGTTGAATATTTTTCACATTAATATAATTAGCAAAGCTAACATCTTCTATTTTTCTCCGCACATCAGTGTCTCCATTATCTTCTAGTTTTCTTTTAGTTTTACTTCTAGTCATTGGAGCTTCACTTTCCTTTCGTGCGTCCTTCTGCTTCTGTTCGTCTAGTTGTGTTGTTTGTTTTCTCGGTCTACCTCTTTTCCTTTTTTCAGGAATCTCTAGTTTTTGTTCTCCCTTTTCCTCATCCTCTACAAATTCTTTCATCCAATTTTTATCTAAGTCTTTTTCTTCTTCTATTTGACTGTTTTGATATATATTTTTATATGTTATCTTTTCATTAAATCTAATGTGTCGGGACTCTATAAATTTTCTTGTGCTTGGATGCCAGAGTATATATCCAGTGTCAGTATATCCTACCAACACACCTCTAATAGCTCTCTTGTCAAATTTCGACGTAGGCTTTGGTACTCTTGCATATCCAATGCATCCAAATCTCTTTATTTGCTCGAAATGACAACTTGTTTCTGATGAGAACTTCTTCAAGGGGATCTCATACTCTATAGTCTTATGTGGAGATCTGTTGTACGCATGCACAGCAGCGTCAACTGCCAACTCCCACATACTCTTTGGTAATCCCGAGTCGAACATATATGTTCTTATTTTCTCTTGCATCGTTCTGTTAAACCTTTCTGCAACTCCATTATGTTCCGGAGTGTACGGTGGTATATGGCTTCTATATTTTCTCTTTTTAACACTTCTTTAAAAGCACCTCCCGTAAATTCCTTGCCTTGATCTGACTTCACATAGCATAGCTTTTCTTCTTTTCCTAGTAGATTTCTGGCGGATATTAGGTATTTCTCTAGAGCTTCTCCCGATTCATCTTTCGTCTTCAAGGAGTAAGCTTTCGCTAATCTAGAATAATCGTCTATAAAGGTTATTATAAACCTCTTTCGTCCTGGATAAGATGTAGGTTTTATTGGACCCATGATATCCGTATGTATCACTTGTAGTGGTCTCTGTGCTTTATTTCTGTTTTCTTTAAACGGCAATTTTGCCATCTTTGCCATTATACAGACTTCACACTCTAATATGGAGTTATCAAACTTAACTGTCTCTAATCTCTTTTCTACTTTTTGTAGCTGTCTTAAATAGTTTAACGACGCATGACCTAATCTAACATGCCATAACATCGCCTCATTTATTTTCTCTAATTTCTTTACTTTTTCAATTACTGAGCTTTCACACATTTCTTCTATATTCTCTAATGTTTGTATATCTTCTAACTTAATGACTTGATCGAGTTAAGCATTATTGTATTCTATATTTTCGTTCACATTTGTGAGCTCTCCTTCATTCTCCCTCCCAATCGCAGAGCCAACATTGTCTCTTTCGTCTAATTCTCCCTCCGAAATTGATAATTCACTGGTCTGAATGTTTGCTTGCGATTGTTCAGGAGACTCACAATGTGGAACAATTTCTGCTCTACATCTATACACAGCACATTCTACACTTTCATTGTCCTCTATATTATTGTTTTTAACCTCAAATTGCATAATCCAATTTGGTTTCTCATAAATTCCTTCAAAAACAAATTTATTTGTTAGTTTATTGTGAACTTTAAACACTTTATCATCTAAATAAATACTGAACCCTGCATCAGCCAGCTTTCTTAAAGATAGTAAATTTTCGGATACTTCCTTCGTTGCAATTACATTTGTTAATTTAATTACTTTCTTTTCTTCCTCATTTATTAACAACAAAAGATCTCCTTTACCATCTATTCTTTTTGTTTATATTTTTATTAACGGTTTTATTTGTATACCTTTTTCCTCTAAATCTGTTCGTCTGGGCTCCGGCATTAGGACAGCTATCACCCTTGTGTCCTCTAATCTCCTGGCAGTAATAACAGAACCAGGCCTCTGATCCCGCTAGTGGGCAGTCCTTCGCCATGTGACCCAATTTGTTGCATCGGTAGCACTTTACTTCTTTGTGCTCTTCTGCGGTAGCCCTCTGCACTCTAACCTCTGGTTTCTCTAGCTTCTCTCTAACTTCACTCTTAGTCTCTGCCTCTAACTGCATCATGAAAGATTTTATTTCATCTACATTCATTTCTTTAAGATTAGTTTGTCTTCTAATTAAATCTACATTCCTCAGTTCCGGCACATTAATTGACACAGCTTGATACAATGCAGATCTCATTTCTTGTTCTGTGAGAGGTACCGCATCTTCGCATGATTCATATTCTCTAATTATTGAATCAAAGCGTTCGTAAAAATCACTTACTTTTTCGTCTTTTCTCATTTTAATTTGATAGAGTTTAGTTCGTACCAATGTATGAGTAACGTTTACTTCACTCTTTTTATAACTTCTTAATTTCTTCAAAATTTCTTTTGGATCTTTCTCATGTAAAATCCTTTTATGATAATTTTCATCTAAATGATTGATTATTATATCTCTAACTAGACTTTTTCTCTTAGCAACTTTTAATTCGGAAAGATTTTCTGGATTATCAATGTTTGAATCTATTACATCTAATAACTCGTTATTCATTAATTCGGATTTTAAATAATCCATCCAAAGATCAAAGTTAGATTTTTGCGTTAGCTTATATTCTCTTCTAATATGCAACCTTTGACTGTTTAATTCTACTTCTAAAGCACTCTTAATTGTCTCTAAACTTCTATTTTTCTCGACTGAACAGACTGTTTCATCTAACTTTTTCTTTTTAGGCTCTACTTCTGATTCTTTAACCGTTTGTATACCGTTTTCTACTTTACTTTGCGTATTCTGTTTATTTACCTCTAAACGTCTAATCTTTAGTTTCTCTTTCTCTAAATTTACGTGGGCGACTTCTACCATGTTTTCCATCATGGAGGTTGCTTGGGTCATAACCTTATCCAACATCTTCATTACTGATTCCATTTTCTCAACCATCTTTTCTTGTTTCTCGTAAAGCATCTTTGTCCCTATTGGTAGTACAGGACGATTTTCAGCTCATTCTCTATTTACATCTATGTTCTCTATAATTTTTGGTTTGCCGCGTTTCGGGATTGCACCCTTTGCTTCAGTCTCCTTCTTGTTCTCTTTTTCTTCTAAACAAAATTTTTAAATTACTCTATCTCTGAATACACAAGTATATTATCCTTCTTGATTGTTTTATTTAAAAAAAATACTCTCTTACCTTCATCTTTACTCATCTTTTTATCACTACCTCTCTCTCTCTCTCTACCACTGTGACCACGCTGCTGTCACTATCGTAGTCAACCAGTGAATCCTGGTTTTCTTCCTCATCCATCGGAAGATTTTTCGTCTTATCTTCTTCCATCTAAATCGGGATTCAAGTATCAATTGAACATTAGCATTCCTCTTTTGACAAGATAAACCAACATTCATATTGACCGATAATAATTTACAATTTCTATCACTAGATCTCTTTCAGCGATAAAAATTTAATGCTTATGAGGCTATATAGAACGCACTGCAATTCACAATAACCCCAAAGCGAGAAAACCACGCGCCTCTGCAGGGCTATCCGCACGCGCACACCACTGTCCGTTGCGATCTCCAGCACTGCTGAAAAGATCTATGGGAGCTCGGGTTGATCACGCACGCGCACGGGGCCCATACAAATTTACGCGGCCTCCCTGTACAGTAATCAAGCT